ACCAATAATAATAATAACCAATGAGTCAATGAAGAAAGTAAAAGGGAAATTTTAAAATGCCTTGAGACTAAAATAGAAATGTATTATACCAAAACCTATGGGATACAGCAAAAACAGTTCTAAGAGGGAAGTTCACAGCAATAGATGCCTAGATCAAAAATGAAGAAAGATTTCTAATAAACAACCTAATCATGAACCTCAAGGAACTAGAAACATAAGAACAAGCTAAACCCAAAAGAAGTAGAAGAGAATAATAAAGCTCAGCGCAGAAATAAACAAAGTAGGAACTAATAAAACAATTCAAAAGAGCAACGAAATTAAAAACTGGTTCTTTTAATAGATAAGATTGGCAAATCTTTAGCTAGACTAAGAAAAAAAGAGTGAAGACTCAAAGTCAGAGATGCAAATCAGACATTACAATTGATACCATAGAAATACAAAGGATCATAAGAGACTACTATGAACAACTACTTGCCAAAAAATTTAAAATCATAGAAGAAATGGATAAATTCCTGGACATATACAATATACCAAGATTAAACGGTGAAGAAATAGAAAATCTGTACAGGCCAACAAGTGAGAAAATGCTTTCAGTAATAAAGTCTTTCACCAAAGAAAAGCCGAGGACCTAATGGCTTCACTGCTGAATTCTACCAAACATTTAAAGAATACCAATTCTCCTCAAACTACTCCAGAAGATTGAAAAGTTGTGGATATTTAAAAACTCATTTTATGAGGCCAGCATTATCCTGATTCCAAAACCAGGTGTAGATTCAACAACAACAACAAAAAGAAAACTATAGGCCAATATCCCTGATGAACACAGATGTAAAAACCGTCAACAAGATATTAGCAAACTGAATTTAACAAGCACATTAAAAAGACCATGCACAATTATCAAGTAGTATTCATCCTAAAGATGAAAAAATTCATATGGAACCATAAAAAAACCCAAATAGTCAAAGCAATTCTGAGCAAAAAGAACAGAGCTGGAGGAACCATACTACCTTACTTCAAAATATACTACAAAGCAACAGTAACCAAAACAGCATGGTACTGGCAAAAAGTCTGACACATAGGCCAATGCACCAGAATAAAGAGTCCAGAAATAAATTCACATACTTAACAGCCAACTGATTTTTGATAGATGCGCCAAGAACACACATTGGGAAAATGATAGTCTCTTCAACAAATGGTTCTGGGAAAACCGGATCTCCATATCTAGAAAAATGAGACTAGATTCCCTAACTCTCACTAAATACAAAAATCAGCTTAAATGATTTAAATACTTAAATGTAAAACCCAAAACAATGAAACCACTAAAGGAAAACATAGGACGAACACTTTATGACGCTGGGTTAGGCAGGAATTTTTAAAATAAGCTTTTGTTGCCTCAAAAGCATAGGCAACAAAAGAACATAGACAAATGGGATTACATCAAACTAAAAAGCTTTTGTACAGCAAAAGAAACAACAGAGTAAAGAGACAACCTACAGATTGGGAGAATATGTTTGCAAAGTATAAATCTAACAAAGGGGGCTAGGCATGGTGGCTCACATCTGTTATCCTAGCACTTTGGGAGGCCGAGACGGGCAGATCGCTTGAGTTCAAGAGTTCAAGAACAGCCTGGGCAACATGGTGAGACACTATCTCTACCGAAAATACAAAAAAAGAGAAAAAAATAGCTTGGCATTGTGGCATATGCCTGTGATCCCAGCTACTTGGGAGACTGAGATGGAAGGATCACTTGAGCCCTGGGGGTGGAGGTTGTAGTCAGCTGAGATCACACCACTGCATGTCAGCCTAGGTGACAAAGTGAGACTGTCTTAAAAAAAAAAATCTAGCAAAGAGTTAATACCCAGAATATATTATATAAGGAACTTAAACAATTAAACAGCAAAAAAAAAAAAAAAAAATTCTAATTTAAAAATTGGCAAAAGACTAATAGTAAACATTTCTCAAAAGACACACAAATGGCCAACAGGTACACATGCAAAAAATGCTCAACATCACTAATCATAAAGGAAATGTAAATCAAAACCACAACGAGGTACCATCTCGTTCCAGTTAGAATGGCTACTATCAAAAAAAAAAAAAAAAGAAAATATGTATTTGCAAGAATGTGGTGAAAAGGGAACATTTATGCACTGTTGGTGAGACTGTAAATTAGTACAGCCATTATAGAAAACAGTACGGAGGTTCCTCACAAAATTAAACATAGAACTATCATGTGATTCACCAATCCCGCTACTGGGTATGTATCCAAAGGGTATGAAATCAGTATGTCAGAGATATCTGCACTGCCATGTTTACTGGAGCATTATTTACAATTGCCAAGATACTGAATCAACCTAAGCATCCAACAATGGATGAATAGGTAAGGAAAATGTGGTATATATACACAAACTAATAGAGTACTATTCAGCCATAAAAAAGAATAAAATTCTGTTATTTGTGACAACATGGATGAACCTAGAAGACATCACGTTAAGTGAAAGAAGCCAGACACAGAAAGGCCTATCCGTAATATGACCTCACTCATATGTGGAATCCTAAAAAAAAAAAAAAGACTTGACATTACAGAAGCAGAAAGTAAAACAGTAGTTACTAGTGACTGAGGGGGAGATGTAAGGGGAGGATGCGAAAGGGTGGTCAACAGATACAAAGTTACAATCTAATAGGAGGAATAAGCTCTACTGTTCTGTTGCACGGTAGGGTGATGATGGTTAACAGTAAGGATTGTATATTAAAAAATAGTTAGAAAAGCTCTTGAATGTTCTCACCACCAAGAAATGCTAAATGCATGAGGTAATGAGTATGCTAAATACCCTGATTTAATCATTACACAACATACATATGTACCAGAATATTAAAATGTGCCTCATAAATATGTGTCAATTTAATTTCTTAAAAAATAGTTTCAGATTGTGGAGCATTTTGAATTTTGGGATCAGGGATGCTCAGCTTGTATTGCCATAGCCAGTTTTATGTGTCAGTAACCCACACACTTCCCCTGCCCTTGCCCCAGATTTTTTTGAAGCAAATGCCAGATATATAATTTCATTTGTAAATATTTATTATGCATCTCTAAAAGACAAAGATTTTTAAAAACCTACAACGATTATGACAGCTAAAAAATTAAGAATTCTTTAATATCAACAAATATCCAACTAATGTTCAAATTTCTCTACTTTCTGTTAAATTATTACTAAAGTTCCTTTGGCTTGAATTAGGGTCCCAATAAAGTCCATACATTGCAACTGGTTGCTATGTCTTTTAAGCCTCTTTTGACCTATAGGTTGTCCTCATCTCCTGCAATTTATCTGTTGTAGAAGAGTTTTCTGATCTACATTTGGCTAATTGCAGACCTGTGATGAATTTAACCTGTTCCTATGCCTCCTGTATTTCCTATAAACTGGTAGTTAGACCTAGAGGCTTATTCAGACTCAGGTCCAGTTGTTTGGTTTTTTTGCAATAAGGGCATGGGGTATTGTTCTGAATTTCTATGTTGCCTGAGTGTTGCTCTTTTTTGGGTTAGCAATCTTTAAGGATCATTGCCTAGGTTCATTAATTTATTAGGAGTTGAAAAAATGTAAAATTCTAAAATGCCTTCTTCATTTATTAGTTGGAATATGTTTATAAATAAAACTTATTATCTGCTTAGCTACCCTGGGATATAGTTTGCAAGGGAAAAACAGGAAAAAAAAAATGCTTTATTTTTTACCTTTATGGTTGCCTAGCATCCATTATAGGTAACAGTGCATATTTTTGTATAGGATCATTATGAACTCACAGATTTACAGATTTTATGTACTTGTTTCAATTAATTTTTGTTATTTTTCTCACTGACGTTCAAATTGTCTCATCTTTGACTAGTGAGCTCCTCAATCTCTTTGATAATTCCAATAGTCTTTGTTAGCGGCTTCACTGCTTTCTTTGATGGTAAGATGTTTCAGGCTCATCTTAGACATTTCCTGACCTAGATACATAACCAGCCATTATTCTAAGATGCCCTGGTTCCTGTTCGTAGAAAATGGTATTTGGCAGCCATAATCTGGGCGCCAGAGGTACTCTGCTGCTACCAGGCTGGTCACTCTTTCTAACTTGTATCAATGGACAGAGCTGGAAAAAAATTTTTTTAAGAAAAAATATGAAGTTCATTCAGACTTTTCTATTTCAAATTCAGGAAAACAGGTTTTTTTTTTTAAAACCACATTGATTTTATTTGTCTCTCTGTTTTCCAATACTAAAGGTCTAAGTTCTCAATAACAGCAATATAATTATTCACTTTATCACATACACACATATATACAAACATTCATACCACTGTGTGTGTATATAAATACTAGAAAAAATATGCCAACATGTTAATATTGGTAGCATAAAGGATAATGAGAGGTTTTCATTTTTTTCTTTTAATCAATTCCTGCATATTCAACATTTCTGTTAATAAAAAAGTATTATTGATAAAAAGAAAAAAAATTGTAATCATTTAAAATTTCCAGTAGAGGCCGAATGGAGCGGCTCACGCCTGTAATCCCAGCACTTCGGGAGGCCGAGGCGGGTGGATCACTTGAGGTCAGGAGTTTGAGACCAGCCTGGCCAACATGGAGAAACCCCATCTCTACTAAAAATACAAAAAATTAGCCAGGCATGGTAGCAGGTAACTGTAATCCCAGCTACTCAGGAGGCTGAGGCAGCAGAATCGCTTGAACCCGGGAGGCAGAGGTTGCAGTGAGCTGAGATCATGCCACTGTACTCCAGCCTGGGTGACAGAGTTCAGACTCTGTCTAAAAAAAAAAAAAAAAAATCCAGTTGGTTCACCAATTTTCAAGCTCCCAAAATAAAATAATTCCTCTAGTGAGTACATATAATTCTCTGAAGTATATTATATTAGGCCTAGTTTAGGACCTCCAAATCTTAACACAGGATACCACTGTTTCTCACAGCAAACATACAAACACACACAGCCTCTGAAAACAAAGGGTAAAATTACTTACATCTCTCACAGATATTGTTTCTTCTACTATAATTTCCATTTCTGTCCCAGGTTGAATGTCACTCCCCATTGCAAAAAACAGGAACAACTAACATCAAGACAGACGTGTAAATGCAATTTAATCTGAACTTAAAAATCCAATAAACGTATTATTTACTTTCAAAAATGTAAAGCCAAGGGCCCATGAAACTTTAACAAAAAATCCCAATTTATATGAAAATATGACTATGATTAGTAATGTTACAATTTAAGCAATAATTTTGCCTACCCAGAAGTATAAACTTGCTACACCATCAATGTTTTTTACTCCTAATAAATGTCTCTCACATACACTACTTATTTTTCTTTTTTTTTTTTGAGATGGAGTTTTGCTCTTGTGGCTCAGGCTGGAGTGCAGTGGAGTGACCTTGGCTCACTGCAACCTCTGCCTCCCAAGTTCAAGGGATTCTCCTGCCTCAGCCACCCATGTAGCTGGGATTCCAGGTGCGTGCCACTAGGCCTGGCTAATTTTTTATATTTTTAGTAGAGGCAGGGTTTCACCATGTTGGCCAGGCTGGTCTTGAACTCCTGACTTCAGGTGATCTACCCGCCTCAGCCTCCTAAAGGGTTGGGGTTACAGATGTGAGCCACCATGCCCAGCCAACATACACTATGTCTTCTACTATGATCTCCATCTCTGTCTCGATCACTCCCAAAAGGAATTTGTAATTACTATACACAATTAGTATTAATAAGCTTTTTCTGAGTCACTTGGTTATGATTTTATTTTCTGCCAAGCGATTCAAATATTACAATTCTCAAGACTCCAAAGGAAAAATACAAATCTGATCTCTTATTCCGTTCCTTATAGCCCTGCTTTTCCTTTCTAACTCAGCCTCACTTGTCAGTTTTCCCTCCTATCAGCTTGTCATGCACTACTATTTGCTAGAGTTCAGGGGAAAGCAAATTAAGGGGGAAGTGGTTGGGAAAGTAATGAAGTGAATTTGGGAACCACAGACAACCTGACTTAGTGTCCAGATTACCCTGCTACAGGGTATTTACAATAAGAATATCCTTATGATTTCTCCACTGTAATAAGCTGATTAGCTTCTTACAAATGGCTTCTGGCAAAGGTCAAACCTGACGGTGTTTTATACTGAAAACGGACACTGATAAAGACAAGGGGAAAGGGAGGCTGCTCTCAGACTATTATATTAGTGCAGAGAGTAATTAAGTCCAAAATTAATAAACTGTGTTTCATTAAACCTAAAATGCTACTGACTGTTATACTTACTATTTTCTGTACCAGTGCTAGCTACAACTGCAGAACGCCCCTGACTGTAAGATGCAACCTAATCTCACAGATGTTAAAACGTGGGAAAAAGAAGGTGTATCTTAGAACTTAGGAAATATAATGGTTGAAAGTGGTGGCCACTCAACATTAAAGATTCCTTTTAACCACAAAATCTTCATAGAAAAAGAAACATAAATATGCTTTGGGGTAATATTTTATCTTTAAACATCTAGAACTATAAGGATGTAATCCTAAAATAAAATGTATCATTTAAGAAAAAAAACTTTTAGAGAAAAACAGTATTACTGGAGTAGTTAAGGTACTAGTTATAATTCTGGTTATGGAAGGGTTGATTTTGTTTTGAAACAAGTGACCTTATTTTACCTGACAGGAACTTGGTGCTTTTCCAAGACACAGTCCCAATGAACTTCCCATCTTCAATTCTGCTTCCTTCAAAGTATAGCTGTCCGGCACTTAAAAAAATTTTGATAACATGACGAAGGTTATTAATTCCTAGCTCTCTAAGAAAAATAAAATATTCAAATCAGTATTTCTCTGAAAATCAAGAATATCAAGAAAGAAGAAAAACGAGTTGCACTTCAGGCAAAAGGATTACATGCACTATGATCAGGTTTGATTTTCAATTTCCATACTCTAGGATATTTTGTTCCTGTTTTCTACATAACAATGCTAAAAGGAAGCTATGAATGTCTAGTTTCCTACTTAATAAAAATGACTTGCTCAAAGAGCTGTTGTTTATATGGATTAAAAGCCAGATAATCCAAATCAATCCATAAATGAAGAACCAGCTTCTTCGAAGTTTAAAGTTGAGATTGTTATTACCATAATAATTAGGCTCATCCATGACTAAATTAAATCTAAGGTAAGAGCTGATAGAGATGAGAACTGAAGATTTTATTTCATAATTGGTATCACAATAAAATTAGCAAAGCAAATGGAAAAACTTTGAAAATAAAGTTGGAAAAAATATAACTAGATCAAACCCACGACTAAAATGAGAATCAGATAGTCAGAAAGAACAGTGTTTCATTTAGAAAACAGAAGTGTTTGTTTCTGGTTAAGATTTTCTGTAATACAAGGGTAAGATACCTGGATGAAAATATGTCCTATAAATCAGTTTCCAACAGGTAATTTTTAAATATTAGGTATTGGAGGCCACTACTTAAAGTATTAAGAAAGAAAGATGAGTATAAGCCACCTTTTGAAAGTTATCAAAAAGATTTACCTGGACAAAGAAGCTTCCCATTTCTATCAATAGGTCTCAAACAGCTGTTGTCAGCTATAAATAAAAGGAATATTATTTTTCTTAGTATATTATTTTTCTTAGAGAGCTAGGAATTAATAACCTTCATATTATCAAAATAAAAGGAAGTTGGTTACAGCATCAAATACAGAAAACAAAAGAGAGATGCTCTATTGTGTTAATAAGCAGAAAAATACAGAAAGCTAAAAACAAAAACAAACCAAAAACCCCCCAACAACCAAAGAAAAACCCCCAAAATAAGTACAGTCAGCCTTTATTTTACGGAGTAGTGCAAGACTAACAGTACCAGGTGAAACTGCAAAACAATCTTAATCAATGGAAAAATTACAATCGTTCCATGACACTTAAAAATTTTTGTTGTAACATTTAAAACCCTCTTCATTATTAATATTATACATGCATTAGGAAAGGAAAAAACAGTAAAACCAATATTTATACTATAATTTAAAATACTAGAATTTTTGAGAATTAAAATGTTTTCTTTGTAAATTACATATGAAGAATAGTTTAAACAGGGCTTCGTTTCTTCTCATTGTATAGCTTATAATCTGTAGTGACATCTTTCCTGTCCTGTAGCAAACTGTCATACTCCTTTCTAAGTTTGGATCAGCTTCCAATATCCAGAGTTGCTTGAGTGACAGCAGGGTCAACATTCCCACAAGTTGCCGCTGCTTCTATAACTCCATATACTTTTGTTTCTTTGTGTACTTTCTTCTCTGTTGGCCAATTCCCTCTTTTGATTATGTATTCTTGTAAAATGTCATGGTGGGTTTAGCACTGGGATAAAGGGAGGCAACACAACCACATGCTTTGCTGTCTGTGTAGGGAAGTGAAGTGAAGTGTACACGCAGCGACAAACCACTAGCAGACTTGAAAGAAGTGACCGGTTACTGCTTGTGGTGCACATGTGTTATTTATGTGATGAACTGTGCCCTGAAGAGCTGGCAGTCAAGTGTGTACTTTATTCAGTTACAGTTAATATACCATATACCATGGTTGCTGAAATTTTAACCATCTTGCTGGGGGACTGATGTTATATATAACTAAACGATAGTAATGAAATTTCTGCGTATCAGAACAGTACAAGCGGACTGCCTATATTTAAAATATGTTGGGTGATTTTATGCTTATTAAATGGGCCAGCATGCACTATGTTTGAGGACACAGATTCTTGCTTTAGAAGATCCCCTGGTGCTTGGAAGGGGAAAACCAAGTTTTCAGTTCAAACAAAATTCTTAAAAAGTAGGACGTAAATTGGAGGGGTGGGGGAAGGTTGAGTGTTCTGAAGAGACAACAATAGTATGAACCTTAGAAGTTTTAACTTTATTAGACCACAGCAGAATCTCTTTCTGAGATTCCTGAGTTCAATATCTTGTATTACAGTAATATGAGGCTAGCATACAATTCTCACATAAACCTCCTGTCAACGGAAACAATTTACTTAGAGTTCCCCAACTTAAAAAGTGCTTTTAAAATACTGTCTCTTTAAAATCTGTTGGTTTTCACCGAACAGGTACTTACTGTGTATTGTCTATGTGCCAGGCACTGTACTAGAAACTGGAAATACAATGGTAAGCAAAGCAGTGTAAACTCAGCCCTCACACAACCTTGTCTAATGGGGGAGGTGGATGTTAATAACAGAAATAAAAGGGCAGCTACAGTAATAAATGCTATGAAGGTAAAGTACAGGGTGTTAGGAGAGTACATTAACAAAATCAACTGGGATTGTGTGGTCAGGGATGGAAGGAGAAGGAACATTTCAGATGAGACCAAATAAACAGCTGAAGTTAACAGCAAAGGGAACAGAGTTGAAAGAGAGACTGAGCACTAAGAAGTCTTGGGGGTCAAAGAGAGCTTGTGCACTGAGAAACACAGAAAAGTCAGCATGGTAAGTGAGTTGTGAGTATGTATAAAAGCAGATCACAACAAAGTTACAGTTAAGCAGGGGTCAAATTGTGCAGGTTCTTGTAGGCTAGGTTAAGGAATTAACTTAAGTGCAACGGAAAGCACTAAAGGGCTTTGTGCGGAGGAGTGACAGATCTAATTCACATGTACTGATCATGATCAAATGGTTTGGAGGGGGGCAAGAGTGGAAGAAGGGAGACAAGTTACAGGGGATGACAGTGAACTATGCATTTTAATAAACCAATGACTTTTAATAATGGACTTTACTGAGTTATAATTTTCTTATAATAAAATACATGTTTTAAGCGTACAGTTAATAGTTTGAAAAGTACATAAACATCTGGTAACCATCAGCAAACTGAGGTATAATTTGCATCATCCCCCTTAAAACTCCCTGTGCCAATTTGCAGCCAATCCCTCTTCCTCTCTCCCAATCCTGATCTGCCTTCTGTAATTACAGCTCAGATTTTATTTGTCTAAAGTGTCTTATGTATGGAACCACACAATACGTACTCTTTTGCATCTACTTTCTTTCTCTTGGCATAATGACTTTGAGATTCATCCATGCGTTGCATGTGGTGGAACTAGCACTGCCTTGCTCTTCAGTGATGAACAGTATCCCATTGCTTAAATACACCATCATTTGTCCATCCCTTTACCTGCTCATGGGCATTAGGATTGCTTCCAGTTTGGGGCTAGGAACATTTATGTCTTTATGAGGATATACGTTTTAACTCTTATTCAGTAAATACCTAGATGTAGAATTGGTAAGTGGATGTTTAAATTTATAAGAAATAAGCTAACTTTTCCAAAGTGGCCATACCCATTTTATCCTCCCACCAGCAACATATGGGAGTTCCAGTTGCTCTACATCCTTGCTAACACGTGGTTGACTTAACATTTTAAGTTTTATTTATTCTGCAGGGTGCACAGTAGGGTGTCATTATGGTTTTAATTTGACGGCTAATGATTCTGAGCATTTTTTCCCTGTATTTACTGGTCATTCATAGATAGGTCTTCCTTTGTAAAGTGTCTGTTCAAGCTTCTAAACCTGGGTTAGGTTACAAGTTTTTTTTTTTTTTTAATATTCTGAATGTAAGCTGATCATCAAATATGTGTTTCACAAATATTTTCTCCCAGTTTATGTCTCGCCTTTTCAAATGCCTTTTGAAGAGTACAAGTTTTAAATTTTAATGTAAATTAATTAGGCTTTTCTTCCATGGTTTGTGCTTTTTGAGTCCTACCTTTAAGAATGCAAAAACCTTTCCTTATGATAAAGTAACAAAGATTTCCTCATATGTTTTCTCCCAGAAATTTTATAGTTTTAGGTTTTAACTTTCAGTTGTATGATCCATTTAATTTTTGTATCAGGCGAAGTAAAGCTTGAGGTTCATTTCTGCATATACAAATATCCAAATGGCCCAGCACTATTTGTTGAAAAAATACTATCTCTCTGCTTGAAAAAATACTATCTCTTTGCATGAAAATACCTTGGTACCTTTGTTAAAAGTCAACTGACTATGCACCTATTTCTAGATTCTCTATTTAAGTTCCACTGTAAATATTTTAGGCTTCATGGGTCACATGTGATCTCTGTTGCACATTCTTCTTCTTTAAAAAGCCCTTTACTAGTGTGAAAACTATTCTTTGCCCACGGGCTGAACAAAAACAGGTTGTAGGCCATAGTTTGCTGACCTCCTCTCTACATGTCTACCTGTATGCCAATATACACTGTCTAGAGTGAGCCTTGAAATCAGATACTGTAATTCTTTCAACTTTGTTCTCTTGTTTTCAAACGTGTTACAGCTATTTTAAGTTCTTTGCATTTCCATAAAAATTGTAGAGTCAGCTTGTCAATTTCTTTAAACAATGTTAAGATTCTGAGTAAGAATATATTAAATCTACAAATCAATTTGGGAAGAATTATCCTCTTAAGAATATTATATCATCTGGCCAGGTGCGGTGGCTCACACCTGTAAACCCAGCACTTTGGAAGGCCGAAGCAGGCGGATTATGAGATCAGGAGATAGAGACTATCCTGGCTAACACGGTGAAACCCTGTCTCCACTAACAATACAAAAAATTAGCCGGGTGTGGTGGCAGGCACCTGTAGTCCCAGGTACTCGGGAGGCTGAGGGAGGAGAATGGCGGGAACCTGGGAGGCGGAGGTTGCACTGAGCTGAGATCGCACCACTGTACTCTAGCCTAGGCAACAGAGTGAGACTCCGTCTCAAAAATAAATAAATAAATAAATAAGTTAGCTAGGCATGGTGGCAGGTGCCCATAACCCAGATATTCACGGGGCTGAGGCAGGAGAATCGTTTGAACCCAGGAGACAGAGATTGCAGTGAGCCAAGATTGCCCCCTTGTACTCCAGCCTTGGGGACAGAACAAGACTCTGTCTCAAATTAAAAAAAAAAAAGAATATCGTGTTGTCCGATTCGTGAATGTGGTATATTGTTTTATTTATTCAGGTCTTCTTAAATATCTCACAGCAATATTTCCTAGTTTTCAGTGTACAGGTCTTGTACATATTTTGTTCATTTATGTCTAAGTATTCCATAATATTTTATGCTATTATAAATGTTTTCTTAATTTTGATGTCAATTTTGTTGCTGTTGTTGCTGGTAGGTAAAAGGGCAATGAATTTCTTTATGTGACTTTGAGTTCTTACTAAATTTACATGCATTAAGATACTAATTCACATTCAGTAGAATGGCCATGTTGGTGTGGATATGGTGATTAGGGAACACTTCTATACTCCTGGTGGGAATGTAAACTAGTACAGCCACTATGGAACACAGTGTGGAGATTCCTTAAGAACTAAAAGTAGAGCTACCATTTGATCCAGCAATCCCACTAGTTGGTATCTACCCAGAAGAAAAGAAGTCATTATACGAAAAAGATACTTGCACATGCATGTTTATAGCAGCACAGTTTGCAACTGCAAAATCGTGGAACCAACCCAAATGCCCATCAATCAATGAGTGGATAAAGAAACTGTGTGTGTGGTATATACACACATATATATAGGTATATGTGTGTATATATAGGTGTATATATATGATGGAATACTCCTCAGTCATAAAAAGGAATAAATTAATGGCATTTGCCGCAACCTGGATGAGATTGGAGACTATTATTATACGTGAAGTAACTCAGGAATGGAAAACCAAACACCGTACGTTCTCACTGATATGTGGGAGCTAAGCTATGAAGACACAAAGGCATAAGAATGATACAGTAGACTTTGGGGACTTGCGGGGGAAGGGTAGGAGGAGGACGAGGGATAAAAGACTATGAATAGGGTGTAGTGTATACTGCTCGGGTGATTGGTGCACCAAAATCTCACAAAGCACCACTAAAGAATGTATTCACGTAACCAAATACCACCTGTATCCAATAACCTATGGAAAAAATAATAATAAAAGCTGTGCTCAAAACATGTTAAAAAAAAAAAAAAGTCAAAACCAAACCAGTAACAGCTGATTCTTAAAAAAAAAAAAAGATGGCTGGGCTCGGTGTCTCATGCCTGTAATCCCAGCACTTTGGGAGGTCAAGGCGAGCGGATTAGCTGAGGTCAGGAATTTGAGACCAGCCTGGCCAACATGGTGAAACCCTGTCTCTACTAAAAATACAAAAATTAGCTGGGCGTGGTAGCACACACCTGTAATCCCAGCTATTTGGGAGGCTGAGACAGGAGAATTGCTTGAGCCTGGGAGACGGAGGTTACAGTGAGCTGAGATTGTGCCACTGCACTCCAGCCTGGCTGACAGAGTGAGACTCTGTCTCCAAAAAAAAAAAAAAAAAGATAATCACAATTAATCACAGATTGACAAGGACATGTAGAAACTGCAACCCTGACACATTGCTAGTGGGAAAATAAATGGTTCAGTCACTTTGGAAAATAGTATGGTGGTTTCTTATAAAGTTAAACACAAATTTGCATATGACCCAGCAATTCCAGTCCTGTATATCTACCCAAGAGAAATGAAAACATATCTCCACATCAAGACTTATGTGTAAAAGTTTATAGTGGCATTATTCATAAAAGTACAAAAGTAGAAATAATCCAAATGTCTATCAACTCATGTTTGTCCAGGATAAACAAAATGTGATACTATCCATATAATGGAATACTAGACTAGTCCGCAATACAAAGGAACAAGCTATTGATACATGTGAAATCATGGATGAACCTCAAAAATGATATGCTACGTGAAAGAAGCCAGACACAAAAGACTGTATGTTTTATGATCCCAATTATATTAAATATTAAGAAAACAAAGTCTATAGAGACAGAAAGTAGATTAGTGGTTGCCAGGGGCTTAGACTACAAATGGGTACAGGGATCTTTTTGGAGTAATGGAAGTATTCTGAAACTGGATTGTGGTGATGGTTACAGAACTCTACACATTTACTGATGATTACTGAATTATACACTTAAACTGAGTGAATTTTATGGTATGTAGATTATATCTTCATAAAGTTGTCACAGAAAGCCTAATGGTAAGTGAACAGTGAGTTTGCAGAATGTACATTCAGAATAGTTCAACATGAATACATGGTCTAGATACATATCCACATCAGATATACTCATTGTATTTGGGGAAGGAGAGAAAGAATAGGTTTGAGGAGGAGAACATAGGGGACTTTAACTTCATTTATAATGTTTCAAACAAAAACAAACATATGACAAAAAGTTAACATTTGTCCATTTTGGGTGGTAGGTATATGAGTTTTCCCTAAATTATTTTTTGTATTCTCCTATATTTTCTTCAATTCAAGACCAAAATTAAAGAACCAAAAAGCAAATGTAAATGATTACCTAGTTCCTTCATTAATTTTAATTCCTTTATGGCTTTAATTCGAATATCAAACACCATCTAAAATAGATAAATAAAATAATGACTAAGTTGTAAAAAACGGGAGGAGATGAAAATGAGGATTGTCACTGTGTGCATAAACAAATTATTTGAGATATTAATTACCTGACATTTAGTAGTTTTTGCCTACTTAAAATTTTTCCATCCCTGAAATTCTTTTATAAGATCAAAAGCAAAAACTTAGATCTTCATAGTTAAGTTTTTACCAAATTGATGTTAATTGGAACAGAAAGGACACCTACAGAAAACTAAAGAAACAATTGTAGCTGAAAGGCAATAAGCTGACAAACCACTAACTTTTCTCATGAAAGCAAAGAAAATAAACTCAGGGCAATCACATTTCTCTATGTCAGGAATGATGAATGTGGGCCAGTAAGCATAAATAAAAATGTATACTATCAGCCCAAGAGCACTATTTAAAATTGCTGTTTAAATGACTTTATTTTAGATTCTTTCCCTTTTTTGGTTTAACCGAATTTTCTCTAGGATATAAAATCTTGGAAATTTAGGAGTAAAACTGATGTCAGACAATCTATCCTCCCACAGTACCCCACACTGTGGAAAGAAGAAACAGAATGAGTCATAAAGGACTTCACCAAAGTCTCTCACTTAGGGTCAAGGTAGTAGATCTTCCGAACTTTAGTGTATGCATCTTAGTGTATAAATATTAACACACTTTAAGAAATTATAATATTTATATAAAAGAAAACAACATTCTAGTAAGTTTCAACTTGTTATAGAAAAAAAACCCATAATGAATTGAGACTACATAAATATAAAAAGGTATTTCCTGAGATGATGTTTAAGGAAACTAGTCTTCAAATGGAGAACTAGAAGAGTTCCTTTTAAGAACACCTGGCTTTACAGAAAAACAGAGTATAATGTAAAACCATTTAAGATAAATTTAAAAAACAGAAGTCCACGGCACAAAACCAAAACACATGTATACTTGGTTTAAAAAAAAATACAGAAAAGACTCTTGAAAATAGCATTTTCAAGGAAGCCAGAGAATTCCATGAACTAACTAAATAAGTAACTCCCACATTCTAATTCTAGGCTTTGGAGGAAACTTTAAAAGGCACGTATTTTCTTGAAATATGCTAAGAGCCAACTAACATAGGTAAACAAGCAATAATCAAATGTTAAATAAAAAGCTAACTTCCTAAGATTTGAAGTCTCTTGAGACAACTGTTCTGAAAGATTAAGGTATTGTTTTCTAAATAAAATTCTGTTAACTGAAAATCTATCAGCCAACCTTTAATTATATTCTACTCACTGTGTTAACAGTTGCTGATATTTTAACCTGCTTCTCTTCAGAGTCTACCTGGCATAAATTTTTAACATGGAGCCAGTCAATCTCATTTATACTAGTGGCCCATTTCTCTTCCTTGGTCAACAAGCTGTAGGTAAAAAGAAAAGATCAGAAATTAATACCTTTCCTTAGGCATCACTTCCAAAGCTCTGCATGTGTCACTTAACGTGACTAATTAGAGGTGACCAGTTCTACTGAGTCGTTTCTATGATAAGTGGGCTATCTTTGCAGGGTAATGTTAGGCAGTAGTCTACAGAGTCTATATTCATGACTCCAAATATTCTTTGATTTTTCCCACATAATTTGTTGCCACATTTTTCCACAGAGAACTTCCGTAAGTAAACAATCAGTTGCTCACTTCTGCCTGCACCCTGCAATCACTAGGGGAGCTTTAAAAGAGCGCCTAGGCCAGGAGCCTACCCTACCTGATCTAGATTTCATTTAACAACAGGGCAGCCATGTGTAGTCTGTAGACTGACACTGCACAAAAGGGCCACGTCTAAGGAGTGTCACACATGGCATATACATTGTATACTGAATTTTTGAGAGTTTTGTTTTATAAAAGCAGTCGGCAGTAGAGTATCTTGTTCTAACATTTTCCTACAGATAGTAGTAAAGGGTCCTGAAGAGGTGCCTTCTTTCCAATTCACACAGAAGCACTAATGGGCTTGCAGAAGTCCTCTTTGGGAATGTGTATCAGAGCTCTGAAACATAATTCTACTCTTTATCGCAGTTATTCCATTCTGAGCTCCCACCTTAAGCTAGCAATCCCAAATACAAAGTTTGAAGCACAAGATGTTCCGTGAAGACTACCTTAAAATAGTGAAAAACTGTATGATAATCATGACAATGACTGCATTAACTAAAACATTTAGCACTTACTGTGTGTACTTTGTAAGCACTGAACTCTTTCAATCTTCTCAACTCTATGAAGCTGGCACTAGTTATTATCCCCATTTTACAGACAAGAAGACTGAGCAGAGAAAGACGAAATACCTTGCCCAAGGTCCCATTACATCCTACTGACTTGCCTAGGAGCACAGCTAGGCAAACTACATAGATTACTATGTATCCATCCAAGGCAGTTTATAAAAGAGTCTACAAATCTCAAGGTTGGGCAGAGGGGATGGAAAGCAAGATACATCTACAAAATAATCATTATTAGGTTTAAAAAGAAAGGCCCCCAAATGCTAACAGTAATTAACAGTGCATGGTGAGAAGAGGGATTTCCCCAGTCCCAATAAATGTATACTGCCTTTTATAAAGGAAATACAGTTCTTATAAACAAGGTGGACAATGTCTGAGAAACCCCTGTCCAAAAGAGTAACAGTGGTAAGTGTACTATGAAATAAATGGTCCATAAGTGCTCTGCTGCTCTGCGTCAAAGCCACTGTAAATAATGATGCAGAAGTCCTGCAATCTAAGTAAATTTGTAGCACTGAGAAAACAGGGAACTTGAAATCTTCAATATATGGAAATATTGCAGCTACAGTGTATGACACATTGACTACAGCAAAGTACTATCACAGACACAGATGACAAAAAGACAGATGTAGCTTTAAATGTGACCGCAGGATTCATGGGGGTAATTCGCCAGGTAACTGCTCTATTTGGGCAACTGGGCTCTCAAGAGTCACAGAAGGGATTATAAGGAAACCAGGAGTCAACTTATGGGTCTCCTGAAACAAAATATCCAGAAACAATTTAGCCATAATGTTTATACTTTCTTCAGGAAGATTTTCAGGAATTTTCTCTGCGAGAATGTTCCTTCGGTTTTATAACCAGCGCTAATCAGAATTCACCTGATAACTTGCATTATAGCCAACTAATTGATACTCTATATAGTCTACAAAATCAGGGATACTTACATTATTTTCTCACCACATTTACCAAAAGTCCCTTACAAAACATCATTTTTTCCTCTAAGTTACATAACCTGCAACATTCGTGTATACAATATTTAGAACATAATGTCTAGAAATAAAGAAACATTCAACCCTTGTCACTAAAATAAAGCTTTAGAGTTCTGCTGGGTGGTACTGTAATTAAAATGACTTTTAGAAATCCTTTTTCTCCTGTTAGCGAGTTACCTGTTATCATCATGAGAATCCTGAATTAAAACTGAGCTTCCATTTCTGAGCCCTTGCTCCCTGAACGTCTTCCTCATGTCTTCCTTGGAGATGGCCATCCAACCCTCCCCACCTGGGCATCCAGCACTGTTGATGAAGATGACACCTGCTGGGATTGCTAAGGCTGTGAGGACAGTGCCCACTTCTGCATTAGATGGAAAGACATGTGGAGATTCTATCACCTGGCAACACTTTTCTCCTTCACTGCTTGTGTCCAGATGAAGAACATTTAAAAGCAGAGGTTCGCAGTCAATACCAGTTTGAATGTGGACTCCACCAACCTGCAATCATATCAAGGAAACCACTAGTACAGTTGATACTTGCCAACATTGTCAACATAACATGGTAAAAGATTACTCTTAGAGAACAACCCTCATTTTTTCCAAGTAAAATAAAATTTTCACAAATGTCTGTTAAGCATCAAAGGAACAACTTCAGATCTGTCTTTTGAAACTTTCTTATCCACCTTTTATTTTTTTAGAAGAAATCTACGATAGACTGGAGATAGAGATTTATGAGTTATCACGGGTGGCGATGAAGCCAGATTGGCCAAGGTCAGTTCACAGAGTGGCTGAAGTGCTCCTGGCCACCTTCTAGAGATAGAAAATTCACTCTCCACCTCCAAACCACCCCAACGACTCCCCAACTTAGTATAGATCCTCACTCTTCTAAATTCCCACAGGCACTATGCACAGACCCCTACTCCAGCACATATGGTGCAGTTCTTCACACAATGAGGCCCTAAAAGGACACAGATCAACTGACTGGCCTTTGACCTAGCATCTGACACACAACCTGGTATAACGGAGGTGCTCAAGAAATGTCTCCTTGACGTACAACTAGCACTGATTGTCTAACATTTATCAAGCATTTCAGTAGTTTTCTAATATCTAATTGCCCTCACATAGGCTGAATAAAATTTCATTACAATGACTTTTTTTTTGAGATGGAGTCTTGCCCTGTCACCCAGGCTGGAGTCCAGTGGTATAATCTCAGCTCACTGCAACCTCCACTTTCCAGGTTCAAGCGATTCTCCTGCCTCAGCCTCCCAAGTCACTGGGACTACAGGCGTACACCACCATGCCTGGCCAATTTTTGTATTTTTAGTAGAGATGGGGTTTCACCATGTTGGCCAAGCTGGTCTTGAATTCCTGACCTCAGGTGATCTGCCTGCCTCGCCCTCCCAAAGTACTGGGATTACAGGCATGAGCCACCATGCCCAGCCATTACGACTTTTAAAACATTCAAAATTATCACGAATATTTCTTCAGCAATTTTTTTTACCTCCACCCCATTCCACACAAAGATATCTTCTCCATCAGCAATTTCAGTTTCACACAGTGTCAGTTCATCCCCTAGAAAGAGATCACCAGTGAGACCATTCATCACGACCATCAGAAATGACTGAGCTAAAGAAAGAGCTGAGACAAATATTTGTCTGAAAAAGTATTTTCACTAAGGAAAATTTAAAAAGTAGTAATTATTTTTATTCTATTGACATCTCATTTCGTAATTTTTCTTTAAAATGTTGTTACAAAAGCTTTGTGAGCATGGTGGCAGGATAAAAGAGATAATCCAAAGGTCAAGTGTACTTGAGGCACATGACATTGGAAACAGGAGTTAGGCTTAGGCATGGAATGGTCCCAGCTCCACTGATACGTCCATAACACAAGCTGTATGTCTTTGTGTGCTTCAAGTCTCTCAGCTCAGTTTTTTCATTTATGAAATGGGGATAAAAGAATTTTATGAGAATCAAGTGAGATAATTAACATAAAACACCTATTATAGATTTTGGTCCAAATTAGATGTTACTGCCACTACTGTTAATTTTCATTGTTTTGCTGCTATTTAAAGGAAGTAAATGCTTTCAAACTCCCAAAGTATTTCTTGTTTTACTACAAAATCTGAAGCTGAGAGTTGGGCAGAAAATCAAGTCATATAAATATGATTCAGATGGTTTGAAACCATGTTGCTCAACAATATGTGTCAATATAAAAAATTCTAAAGCTTTTCAAGAAATTTTTAGTAGGGTAGCCTTAATTTGAGAAAAAATAAAATGTTTCCATGTTAGAAGAATTTCACACATTATATAAACTGTACACATTAAAACTCGGATATATTATTTCTTTTGGAAAACTTACAGTGTGAAGATAATCTACTTAGTTAAGCAAGTAGTAGGTGGGGAAGGACTGACAAGGAGCAGAAAATCACAGATGAGCCGGACAAAAATATAGATGTATAAGAGTGAGTTGCTATGTTTTCATATTTATCTTACCGCCAAGTGTCTGGTAAATGTGAAGTCCTGCTGGTACAAGCTTTGCAACACTGAGAACCATGTCTCCTTCCCAAAATTCTAACAGCTGAAGAATATTAATGAAAGAAAAGAGAACATTGAAAAGTGACACATACATATCACCTTTCCAGGTTACTGTGCCAACTTACATAAGAAGATGACACAAAGAGCAAGCAAATGAATACTCTCACTCCCAGCCAACACCGCAAACTTCAAAAGAAGGCATCGCTTGTTAAATTAGTCAAATCCCAAGACGGCTAATCTCCTCCATTCCTGAGTGGAGAATTCTGGCATACACGAAGGGCACAACAACCATCTAAACAATTCTGCTTAATATATATGAAGAGCACTTTTCTCAGAAAGCAAGTTGATGAGCATGCCAGCCTAGGAATTTTTACTCAAAAGAGCAAGACTAATTTGTGGAATTAGCAATGTTGAGGGAAATGCAGTCCTGACTCTAGCACACACTCATCTTCTAGTTGCTTGAAAGGAATGTCTCCCATTGCAAATTTATAAAGGTGCATTACCAGTTTACTTAATAGATTACCAGGGCTTCGTTTCTAGATCTGAGAGTCTCAGCACCGTGGCAAGATCACCAAAATAATATCACCATAAAAGTCATTCCTATCTAGTCATTCTCTACAATACCATAAGGTATTTTCTTAAAAAGAAATTTCTTATTTACAAGCAATTAGTTTGCTGTGAACTAAGTTTCCTAGCCTCTTGTCAGTAACTTCCTTGTAAGAGAATAGTTAGTAGGGATACACATTTAAAACACCAAAAAGCACAGACTGGAGTGTACCTCACACTTACAAAGTGAATAAGATCCTTTTCATTTAAAATATCCCCCTAGACAGGTTCAGATTCCCACATCCACCTGTATCAACAATGCTAGAATTGGCTCAGAAATAAATTTCTAATGAAAAAGTTCAGAAAGATTAGACAATTTTAGAAATCCTGACACTGATCTAGTGTTTAAATAACTTCAAATCAACAACTAAGGTTAAAAGGGAAATTGCTTTGCTTTTCTTAGCAGAAGAAAATTGAAAGAAAGCTAATAGTTTTGGTGAGTAATAGGATTTTTCAGAAAATTCATTAAACTAATTTCTGGGAAAAAAACACAAAAAGCTAACATTTTCTATCTCCCTTTTCCTTGATCAGAAAGTAGTGTGGAGCAGGAGTGTGATTAGGAGGAAAAAACCCTAGATGAAGAGTAAGGAGACCAGGGACGGAGTCCCAGCTCCATCAACTAGGTTTAGGACCATAGGCAAGACATTGAGTCTCTTTAAATCACACTGCCTCGTCTTCAAATGGGGCTAATGTATCTTCATGAGATTAAAGAACCAAATCATATAATTTATATGAAAGCAGTGTAAGTAAAATAAAGAACACTGCTGTTACTATTATCATCATTAAAACATATCTTGAAAATGACTTGGAGACTACAGCACTGTTTTTACTCTAGACTAATAGATACTTTCCTTCACTTAAGAGTATTATTAATAAATACTGTTCTACACTACAGGGTACAAAGTTAGTTGCTTTTACTTGTTCAGTAGTTCTCAGTTTTAAACAACATGCTCATCTTTATCTTTTTGCTCTCTTTGAAAGGCAATTTGCTTTCATTTATTTTCTAAAAAAGAGACAACTTCATACTCTTTCTTCCCCTCAAATAAAATGTACCAGCCTGATGGTCCACCTGAAAAGCTGCTGGTAGGAGCTGTGGAGAAAAGCCTCCTAAAAGACTTAGAAGATCTGGGTCATCCCTCTGTGAAGTGGCAGATGTCAGGTCTTTCTAAGCAGCTTTGAAAAATAAAGTTGTATCCTAAACAGAATGAAATGGACAGTCTAGCTGGAGATGGTCCTTGATGTCTAAATTAAGAGGAAGTAAGGCTGTATTACCTGAAATATTGACTGCCGGAGATCTCCTAAAGTTTTTCTTTTATCAAAGGTCAAATCCCACACGCTTTCTGTTTGAGAGACTACCGGGTGCAGAGCCCCATTGAAGAAATGGTACTGAGGGCCCAGGTGAAGATGCAATTCAACAGTATTGTTTGCAGAATCACATTCTGCCCTTTAAAGAGGCACAAAAATACATAAATACTGTGTTTTTGTAACAGACACTGTGTTTTATCTCAAACCAAAGATATCTGGCTTACAATACAATTAAGTTCTCCATCCTACCTAAGTAACAATTTTTCTTCTATGAGCCACAATTAGTCACTTTAGTTTTTCAGTCAACAGCAAAAATTCAGTTCTGTCGCCATGAATTCCAAGAGAAAACTGTTTTAACGTGTGCTGCAATGTTAACTCCATTTCTCTGAACACAGGCTGACACCTGAAATCTTCTAATTCTGAGATTATATTATAGTTACGAACAAAATGCTAGAGATCTGCTTACATAATTGTGTTAGGTAGCAGATTTACTTCTATGTCATCTATCATCCTTATTTCCACTAGATTTTGCACACTCTCACTCTCCCATGAGTTTTTTTTTTTTTTTTTTTTTTAAGACAGAGTCTCACTGTGTTACCCAGGCTGGAGTGCAGTGGTGCCATCCTGGCTCACTGCAACCTCCACCTTCTAGGTTCAAGCAATTCTCCTGCCTCAGTCTCCTGAGTAGCTGGGATTACATGTGTGTGCCACCACGCCTGGCTAATTTTTGTATTTTTTGTAGAGACGGGGTTTCACCATGTTGACCAGGCTCATCTTGAACTCCTGACCTCAGGTGATCCGCCTGCCTCGGTCTCCTAAAGTGCTGGAATTGCAGGTGTGAGGCACTGCGACTGGTCCCACGAAATATTTGAAGCCAGTAGCATGAACCTCCTGAGACCACGTTATCCAGGCTAAAAGTCCTTGGCAGCAGCCTGGTGTCACCTGCTCTTCTCTGAATGCACTCAGCTGACTTGAAGCCAGCACAAAACACAGGTAGGGTCTGGCCAATGTGGAGCTGGAACGAAGATTATCACACAACTCAGGTACTTCAGGACACTTCAGTGAACATGGTCAGAGAGCACAACCACATGAAAGACCTTAGTGCGGGCTGACGACAACCCTTTTTTTTTTTTTTTTGTAAATAACAACTGCTAGTCCAGACCACTTATGCAGGTTATTTTTTAGACTTAAGATACTTCACTCTGTTAAGTTTTAATCTTTTTGGTATCTTGGTTTTTGTTGTTTCTTTGCTCTTATGTCATTCACTGTACTTTTTTCCCCCAGCTCCAAGCCAATGATAAAAATGTCAAATACACCCTGTCATATAATTAGGCATTTGAGTCCACAAGATGATCATGGGAACATCCATTTTCTTAACCCAATACCTGATTTACTCTAACAGAGCACAAATAAAGAAGCAGTTCTTCAGAGTCAAAGGTGAGGCCCCAAAAGAGAATGTTGAGATTATAAAGTTCTCACAAACCATCTCTTAAAGTAAGAATCCATTATAGGCTTTCCCCCAAGATCAGCATTGGATTCAATAGGTTATAGAATCCATATTTCCCTCCTTTTGAAAATCTGCCCACCTCTGATCCTCTCTCACTACATGCCAGTTCGCTACAACTACTTACCCATGAGGGGTGATTTTCACAGCAGGCTCTCTTTGGACCCAAGGAAATAATGTGGCCAGGCTGGGATACAACTCATTTAGCCCAACTATGTGCTCACTGATTTCTCTACTCGTCTTAGGCTTCAATCCCTACTTAGCAATGGCCATTTTATATGTCACTGTTTAATTCACTCTCACACATAAGGGATAATTTCAAAGTTAAAGCTACCCTCACTATAAAAATTCAGCAGCCAAAGAGACACTTGCATTAACTAGTTGACTATTTCTTTTTCTTGTTAATTTTCATCATTGAATGCTTAAGGCCTAAATTAGATCTTTATTCTCCAGAAACACTAGTCAAACTCTAAAAGTAATTTAAAATTACCTTTTGGTTTGTAGTTCAATGTTAGCTGCATCCATTTCATTCAGTAAATGACATGGAACCCCATATCTTGGATTAGCTCGAGCTGTGAACAAAATTTTTCATTAACTTGTGTTGGCTAAATGAAATCTGGTTGCTGGAAGAGGTAGCATGAAGACTAGAAAGGACTGTCCTGGGAGCTAGGAAAGCTGCTACTAATTTGCTGTGTGAATATGAATTTTCTCAGGATCTCAGTTTTCCCATCTGAAACATGAAAAAGTTAGAACAAATGAAAAGTAAATAGTTCTTTAAGATAAGCTAGAAGAATTCAATTTTTTTCAACTCTTTTAAGTATACTTTTTAAAAAGAACACCCAGATTTTCATCTTTTTCTTTTTTCTTCTTCTTTTCTTTACTTTTTTGAGACAGAGTCTCACTTTGTCACCCAGGCTGGAGTGCAGTGGCATAATCTCAGCTCACTGCAACCTCTGCCTCCCAAGTTCAAGCAATTCTCGTGCCTCAGCCTCCGAGTGGCTGTGATTACAGGCTCGTGCCACCATGCCTGGCTAATTTTTGTATTTTTAGCAGAGACAGGGTTGCACCATGTTGCCCAGGCTGGTTTTGAACTCCTGGCCTCAAGTGATCCGCCCGCCTCAGCCTCCCAATGTGCTGAGATTACAGGCATGACCCAGCCTGCCTGGCCTCAGATTTTCATCTTGATTACAAATACAATAACTGACTACTGTAAAAATTCTGAAATTTTTTTAAGTGTAAAAGAAATAGATGCTGCTCATAATTTCACTCCCAAGACACACACACATACACACACACACACAGGCACACACACAATTTTAAAAATTGGTATCATATTCAACAAATCTGTTTTCATTTCATACACTGTATTTTCCAAAGTCTTAAATAAATGATTGCATAGTAGTCCATTCTATAAGTAGCATAATTAACCTAACCAATCTTTTTCTGTTAGACATTAAGGTGATTTCCAATTAATCACTATTTTAAAATAGTAGGAACAATAAACATCTTTGAGCATCAATATTCATATACAGCTCTGATTACTTCAAGACAAACTTGTGAAAGTAGAATTACTGGTTTAAACGGTATGACATTTTCTAGGCTTTTAAATATACATACTCAAACTGATCATATTCCATACTTACCAACTCTGGAGGAAATGTCAACTACTGAGACCCAAGAGTCACGGAAATAGTATCTGACTTGGTGGGGCATCTCACTAATGTTCACCTCATTGCCATTCTTCTTCTTCTTTTTTGATTACAGGTTAAATTGAAAATTTTTTGAAACACAGGAATCTTTCTTTTATAAATTACTTATTTATATTCTTTCCCCAATTTACTACTGAGCACAATGAAATATATGTAAGTGCACTCTACAGATAGGGGAAATTAATTTGTCATATATTTTCCTGTTTTCCATTAGCTTGTCATTTGCCTTTTAATTCTGTTTAAGGGTTACATAATATCACTTTTCCCTAGTTTTTTTCTTTCTTTGCTTTTATGCTCAGAAAGGTTTTCTTTACTTTAAAATAAAATATTTATATTTTACACATTTTACGATTCCTTAACATAAATATTAAAGGAACTATAATTTCATTTAAGTGATTTGTATAACAAAGAAAAATGGCTTAATTATTTCCCTAGCAAATAACCAACTTTCCAGTTGTATTTATCGACTAATTCACGCCCTTCCTTCCCCAAAATATCTGAAGAGCTACCTTACCATGGATTAAAACACAAATATGCTTAGATCAGCTCCTGGGTTTACTGCTCTTTTTCAATGATCTGTCTACCTTTTTGCATTGCCACTACACTGTCTTCATTGCTATAACTTTATAAATACGTTTTTACTGATACAGCAAATTCTCCCTCAGTCATCTCTTCTTCAGTTTTTATTACTTTATTTCTCCAGGTGAATTTTAGAATCATTTCATAAAGTTCTATCCCTTCATTCCCAAAAAAGTACATCGAGATTTTGGTTGGATCTTTGTTCAATTTCTAGGCTAACAAGAGAACTGTCATTGAGTACATATTCCAATTATGTACACACTAAAATTAAATTCTATGAAAAAGACTAATACTCCATTTGAAGATATTCTTTTTCTGATAATATATATTTCTATAACTGTGAATTCTGATACACAATATTTTTACCAGAACCATTTCCATATCTTTTTTTCCTCCCAGAAAAATACAAAGCCTTTTTGATTAACAGCATAGTTATGTAACTGTTTTCGATCTGGAAAGTTAATTTCCTTTGATTCACATGCAAATTAGTAACTGCTTTATTTTTATTCTTTATAAAAATGATGGTTATTCTCATTCTCTAAGAACAATATTCTCATCTCTAATAATAGATATGTCTCAATCTATAAAGCTTTTCTCAATAGAGTTTTTAACTTTTGAGCAGACTTTGAGAAGTGATCAAAAAATCTTACTAGGCCTCATGCCTGTAATCCTAGTGAGGCAGGAGAATAGAGTCTGGAGACAGGTAACCTAAGGCTGTTTCGCAGACTTCCTAGAAGTAAATTGAAAGGAAAACCCTAACTTTCCATGCCTAAGTAACAAAAGGACCAGAGGCTACTCCGTTTGACCTTTTCTGCGCACACATAGGAAACTGGGTGACCCCAACAAATCAGACTGTGGGTGGAGTCTTTGTTTGCAACTTTGCAACCACTTCAGCCTCTGAATGTTTGCGGTTGGCAACAAATACGACAGAAACAAATCGGACTGATTGCCCGTAAGGTCTTTGTTTGTAACTTTGCAACTTCACTCCAGCCTTTGAATGGGTGTTGCCCCCACCAATCAGACTGACAGCCGACTATGTCTTCCTTTGCATGGAAGTATAACTTTGTAACTTCACCCTAGCCTCTGATTGGTTCCAGAAAGCAACCAATCAGATGTTTGCACATGAGAGTGACTTTTGTAACTGCACTTCAGCCTCTGGTTAGCTGCTTTCTGCAACCAATCAGACTGACTGTGGGCTACCAATTCATTTACATGAGGTGAGCATGAAGTGGCTAATGGGAAACTTCTAGGAGGTATTTGGACCCGAGAAGATTCTGTATCTGGGTCCTTGAGCCGCTGCTCAGGCTGTTCCCACACGGTGGAGTGTAGTTTCGTTTTCAATACATTCCTGCTTTTGTTCTTTTGTTGCTTCATTCTTTGCATTGCTGTGTGTTTTGTCCAATTCTTTGTTCGAAATGCCAAGAACCTGGACAACTTGCAGTCATGACCCTCTACCAATGACACCAGCACTTTGGGAGGCTGAGGTGTGAGCATCATTTGAGGCCAGGAGTTCGAGCCCAACCTGGGCAACACAGCAAGACCCTGTCTCTAAAAAAATGAAAATTAGCCAGGTGTGGCAGCATGTGCTTGTAGGCCTAGCTACTTGTAGGCCTAGCTTGTAGGCCTAGCTACTAAGGGAAGAGAATCACTTGAGCCCAGGAATTAGAGGCTGCAGTGAACAATCATGCCACTGCACTCCAGCCTGGATGACAGAGTGAGGTTGCATCTCTAAAAATAAATAAATGAATAAACACACAAAAGGTCTTATTGAGAAACAGGAAAATAAAGGAGAAGATATGAAAATATATAAATAAAGGATAAATAATAGAAATAAAAGATATAAATAAACATAAAGGAGAAGATATAAAAGAATCAGGAAAATAAAGAAGATATAAAAATAAGACCAAGGCCACTTAAAATTCAAAGGCAACATATGGCTGAATGACAGAGCCAAGTCTGAGCACATGGCAATCGCACTCAAGTTTGCCAACACAAGGTTTTATGCTATCCAAGGAAATCCAGTTTTGAAAATGTAATGATGATCTTACATTATTACAGGGTAGAAAATTAAAGAGAAGTATATAATCTTTATAAAATGACAAATTGTTAGATTTCATTTGGCATAATATAGTTCTTGTTAGCTTTAAAATATTTTAAGTTGTTCCAAGAGTAAACTTTTTTTAAAAGAATAAAAACTCAAATAGCATTCCATGTTTATCTTCTAAAGCCATTAACTGAAACAAATAGGAACATTTTTCTTTCCATACCTTCAGGGGGTCTCTGCAACTGGGATTTCCGATAAAACAACATGTAGGCACTTTCTTTACCCTGAAATTGCTGTTCAATATCCTTTTCCCTGATTGGCTGGACTTTAGAATCATTTATATCAAACCAGTGGGGACAGGAGATGCTACTGTTTAAACCTGGGGATTCTGGAGGAAGCGTCTCGAAAATTTGCTGGTCATTCCTTTGGAAATCAGACTCAGCCTGGAGAGAACCATTCTTCAAGAGACGAACTATACTTTCATCTGAACTGAGTAGAAATATCTGAGAATGGAGCTGTAAGAACTACACAGAAACAGACAAAAAAAAATGCGAAGTTAATTATTCAAACAAAAATTAGAAGTGATTAAAAAATGTTTTCTTCCTTTCTGTGATTAGATCGTTTAACTTCATTTTTATTTTTGACCTGGCCAGCTAGGGAGGAAAATCCATCTAGGTATAATAAAACATTTAATAAAACCACAGTGCTCTGTTAAATAGTCTGATAGTTACACGAAGGGAGAAAGTCGCTATGCTACAATCTAAAAAGCATTTTAATTATACCTCACTAGTGCTGTTTAAAAAAGTATTTAAGTGGAACAGATTAGGTAGAACAAACACTTTTGAAATATTTAAAAGCAATCTAAACAAGGCACAAAACAAAAGCAGTCACACAGTGTACCACCATAAAAGATAATTTGAAAACCCAGACAGATTCTGTTGGGATAAGGTAGTAATTATCAACCTGAATTATCTTTTAACCCGAACTAAAGTGAATGTTGTCTGTTCTAAAAGCTGGTAGACAAGCTCAGAAAATCAAAGCAAAGTAAGGGTTAAGTTACAATCCCAAAGTTCTTGCTAAAAGATTAGGAAGAAAAAAATCTCTTTCTCCATTGCCTGTCTCTACCTCCCCATCCCCTACGCCTCTATCCTCTCACTTTCTAACCTCTGTCTGGCCTTGCGTCTCCTCCTTTTCTCTCAGCCTAATTTACTTATATAGAAAATTACTTGGGAGTTAAATTTAACACTTGGGTACTTCATCAATCACCCTGGAAAGGTGATTTGTGCATTTTTCTCTTGGAAAGAAAGTAATCTGTGGTAATGTCAACTCTCTAATCAAAAGTATTATTTTATCAGCAAACAGAAGAGTGTAGGGCATAACCCAAAGACAACACTGTTAACACTGTGTATGAGAACAGAGAGTAAAATATCGTTGTAGCTAATTTGTTTTAAGGTACAAAAAAGTATCAACAACTTGAAAGCTTTGAGTAATGAACTTTCATTTTTTTTGGTTCTTTGGGTTTTTAAGTAATGAACTTTCTATATAGCCAAGTTTTTCTTTGATAGGTGAGAATTAAGCCTCAAACACCAATGCAGTCTGTCCCAGTAATGACAAAGAAATTTTCTTAGACTAATATTCCTAATAAAAATGATAAACTCTACGCAAAACAAGGAAAACGACTGTTGGGAAAGGAACCCAAAGTAGGCATAAAGTGAAGACATAATTCTTTAAAGAAGGGAAGCAAACCAGGTGAGTTCTGCACTCACCTACTAGTACCCAGTTTGTAGCAGTGCACGGTGGAACAGATTTCAAGAAAAGACAAGAGTCTTACTGGGCTGAGGGGACAGAATCTGAGAATAGCAGAGACGCGAGATCCCACGAAACAGCCCCAGTTCTGTATCAAATCCTCCTAAATCCTTGGCTAACTCCTAAATGGTAGAATGGACAGCGCAGAGCCCAGCAGAGAGTATCAGTCAGGAGGTTCGACAGCTGAGCAGGGTTGCCTGCTGCCAAGAAGAAAGAACAAGGAGTTCAAGTCCTGCCAAATTAGAAAGAGATAGCAAACTTTTTCTTAAAGAGCCAGATGGTAAATATTTCAGAAGCAAAACTGAGAACATTACTTAGTACTCACTTCACCTTTTAAAAAGTAACCATTTAAAAATGTAAGGCATGTTCTTAGCTCAAGACTGTAAGAACAGGCAGCAGGCCACATTTTGCCCACAGGCCACAGTTAGCTGAGCCCTACTGTAAGTGGAAGGACCATGACCCAGGGCTAAACTATTCCCCAGAACTAAAGGCAAAATTGTAACGGACCCACCCTAAAGCCCAAAATTTAACTTCCACAGACTCTAAAAGATTCAAAGGTAATTTGAGGGCTTGTTAGAATGCAATGTAAAGATCTTTAGAGAAAAATAACATAATCCAGAGTCTCCACAACACATCATCCACAATATGAGATTATATGGAGCAGGGGGGCAAGACATGGGGAGATGATGGTCAAAGGATACAAAGCCTCAATTCAAAGGTAGGAATAAGTTGTTTTTCTTAAAAAATATATTGCACAGTGTGGCAAATACAGAAAATAATAATATACTGTAGATTTCAAAATTGTTGAGAGTAAATTTCACCACAAAAAATAAATATTTGAGATGATGGATATGTTCATTGTTTGATTTAATTATTCTGTATTGTATCTGCAAATTAAAACATCAATCTGTACCCCTACAAATATATACAACTAAAATTTATCAATTTGTAATTAAAAAATAAAAATTTATATTGAAAAGATTATATGACATGCAAAGAAACAGGACAATGTTATTCATAATCAAGAGATGGAATGGTCAATTCAAAAGAGAATAAAAGAGTCAACAGAATCAAATTCAGAATTAATCTAGCTATAAGCTATTATAAATATGTTAAAAATTTTAAAGGAAAAGATGAATAGAATGGGTAAAGAGAAGGGGAATTTCAGCAGAGAAATGTACACTTTAAATAAGAACTAAGTGGAAAGACTACAACTAAAAAGTATAATATCTGAAATGCATAGCTCATTTGGTGGTCTTAACAGAAGAGTGGCTCAGTAGAAGAAAAAATTAGCAAAGCTGAGGACAGGACAGATCAATGGAAATTGTCCAAATTGAAGTAGGAGAAGAAAAAAATGAAAGAACAAAACACCAGTCTGGCCAACATGGCAAAACCCTCATCTCTACAAAAAAATACAAAAAATTAGCTGGGTATGGTGACACATGCCAGTAATCTCAGCTACTCGGGAGGCTGAGGCTGGAGGATTGCTTGAACCTGGGAGACAGAGGTTGCAGTGAGCCGAGATTGCGTCACTTCACTTCAGCCTGGGCAAGAGAGTGAGACCCTGTATCAAACAAAACAAAACAAAAGTCCCCAGAACATCTAAGACCTGAGAGGAATTATCAAATGGTCGAACATATACAGTTGGTCCTCAGTATCTGCAGTTTCCAAATCCACAGATTCCACCAACCATGAATCAAAAACATTAAAATAAATAACAGTATAATAGTGAAAAATAATAAAAATTTAAAATACAGTACAACTATTTACATAACATTTATATTGTATTAGGTTTGTTTCCTTTTTTTTCTTTTGGAGACAGGGTATCATTCTGTTGCCCAGTCTGCAGTGCGGTGCATGATCATAGCTCACTGCAGCCTCGGACTCTTAGGCTTAAGCAATCCCCTCACCCTAGCTTCCCGAATAGCTGGGACTTCACGTGCGTACCACCGCATCCAGCTAATTTTTAAATTTTTTGTACAGATGGGGTCTTGCTACGTTTCCAGGACTGGTCTTAAAATCCTGGGCTCAAGCGATCCTCTTGCCTAGACCTCCCTTTTGCTGGGATTACAGGTGTAAGCCACCACACCCAGCCTATGTTAGGTATTACACATAATCTAGTGATAGCTCAAAGTATACAGGAGGATGTGACTAGGCCATATGCAAATACTATGCCATTTCATGAAAGAGACTTGAGCATCCGCAGATTTTGGTGCCATCTGGGGGTTCTAGAACCAATCCCCCATAGATATGGAAGGATGACTGTATATAGTTAGACTCCCAGAAAAAGAAAGAGAGACGAGGCAGAAAAAGAAATTGAAGAAATAATGGCCAAAATTTTTTCCAAAATTTAAAAAAAGACTTTGGACCACAGATGTTAAAAATACTTAGCAATAAAATGTAAATAAACACAAGGAACACAATACCTAAATACATTATGGTCAAACTGCTGAAAACCAAAGATAAAAAGAAAATCTTAAAAGCAGACCAAGAAAAAGAAACATTACATTCAAGAGAATGAAATAAAAAATGACAGTTGGCTTCTCATCCAACATACTGGAAGCCAGAACACAATGGGCCTCTCTAAAACACTGAGAAAAACACAGAAGTGATTAACCTAAAAAAAATGAAGGTAAAATAAACATCTTCAGACAAAATCTGAAAGCACTTTTCACTTGCAATTCTGAACTTCAAGAAATGCTAAAGGAAACTCTCTAGGTTGAAGGGAAATGATACTAAATGCAAACCTGGATAAACAATGAGCAATAAACTCCAGAAAAGATAAATATAAAACACTATTCTTTCCTTAATTTATTTAAAAGTCACTAAAGTGTTTAAGCAGAGGTAGTAAAGTATAGTGGAATTTACATTATATGTAATAGTAAAATAGAAGAAGGCAATAATAGGAAAAATGGGAAAGGGAAAATGAAATTATACTATTGTAAGCATCTTACAGTATACATAAAGTGGTATAATATTAATTTGTAATTTACCATATTAATTTATACATAGTGTAATCACTAGATGAAATTAAATACATAGATTAAAAAGCCAACAAAAGAGATAAAAATGGGACACTAAAAATTTATTAATTAATCCAAAAGAAGGCAGGAAAGGAACAAGAAAATAACAAAGAATAGAGGAGAAATAGAAAACAAATAGTAAGATGAGAGATTCAAACCCAGCCATACAAATTATATTAATGTAAATAACTAAACATTCTAATAAAAAGGAAAAGATTGTCAAACTCTCTGTCATCTGATAGAAAATAGAATAGCAGAGAAAATCAACACAGGCAAAGTTGTTTTCTTGAAAAGTTTAATAAACTTGATAAACCCCAGCAATGAAAAAGAAAGCTAAAAAAGACAAATTATCAATATCAGAAATGAAAAAGGAAACATAAGTTCCTATGCTACAGACACTGGAACGATAATATGGTGAGATTTTAAACAACTTTATGCCAACAAATTTGACACCTCAGATAAATGAACCAATTCTTTAAAAACCATAATTTTCCAAAATAAACACAAACCAACTTCATACTGAGACACACATGTATAAGAAAGCTTATACGGCTACATCAATACCAGACAAGGTAGATTTCAAGGCAAGGAATATTAGCAGAGATAAAGACAAGCATGTCTGGTGTGGTGGCTCATGCCTGTAATCCCAGCACTTTGGGAGGCCAAGGTGGGAGGATCTCTTGAGCCCAGAAGTTTGAGACCAGCCTGGGCAACATACGGGGACACCATCTCTACAAAATAAAAAATATAAAAAAGAATTCATAGCTCGGTGAGGCCAGGTGTGCCTGTAGTCTCAACTACTCAGGAGGTTGAGCTAGGAGGATCTCATGGGCCCAGGAGATCGAGACTGTAGTGAGCTGTGATTGTGCTCCTACACTTCAGTCTGAATGATGGAGCAAAACTCTGTCTCAAAAAAAAGGCAAGTGTTTCACATCAGGAGGCAATAACAATACTAAGTGTGTATGCACCTAATAATATAGCTTCAGGAAGATACATGAAGCAAAAACTGTCAAAACTTTCTTTTAAAAAAATGAGACAAATCCACAATTATTGTTGGGAGATTTAAAATTCCTCAGTAATTAATAGAAAAGGCAAAACCATATATAATAAGAATAGAGAAGAAACAAAGAACACAATCAATTTGATCTAGTTGTCACTTGTGAAATGTTACTTCCAAAAACTGCAGAAAACAACTTCTTTAGTGAACACAGAACATTAAGCAGGATAGACAACACTCTGAACCGTAAAACAAGTCCTAATAAATTCAAAAGAACTGAACTCATATAGAGTATGTTCTCAAAGTACAACGGCATTAATTAGAAATCAATTTACCGACATAACGAAAAGATAACTAGAAACCCCCTAAATGTTAGGAAATTAACCAACATACCTCCAAAGAACCCAAGGGCCAAAGAAAAAATAAGAGAAATTAGAAAATATTTCAAACTGAATGAAAATGAAAGCTTATTGAATATAACTGTCTGACTATATTCAGCAATATAACTATATTCAACAATATAACTTGTTGAATATAACTAGTGCTTGGAAGAAAATTTAGAGCTTTAAAAGTGTGTATTAGAAGGTTTAAAAAAAAAAACTGAGTTACCAACCCAAGCAGCTAGAAAAAGATGATCAAATTAAGTCCCAAGAAGTAGAAGAAAGAAAATACTTTAAAATAAGAACCGATATCCATGAAATAGAAAATAGAAAAGCAATAGAGAAAATCAATAGCATTACATCAAATTATATCTAAGGCAAAAGTTGGTTTCTTGAAAAGGTTTTTAAAAAATTAACTTGATGGCCGGGCGGATCACTTGAGTCCAGGAGTTTGAGACTAGCCTGAGTGACACGGCAAAACCCCGTCTCTACAAAAATTAGCTAGGTGTGGTGGTACATGCCTGTAGTACCAGCTAGCTACTCAGGAGGCTGAGGCAGGAGAATCACTGGCGCCTGGGAGGCAGAGGTTGGAGTGAGCTAAGATCGTGCCACTGCACTCCAGCCTGGGCAACAGAGTATACCTCAACTCAAAAAAACAAACAAAAAAACCTTGATAATCCCCAAGCAAGACTGTTGAAAAAACGTGAGAAAATAAAAATTATTAATATCAGAAATGAAAAATGGAACATAGCTTCAGGTTCTACAGACACTAAAAGGATAATGAGATATTTTGAACAAGTTTATGCCAATAAATTTGATACCCTAGATAAAAAGGCAAATTCCTTTACTAGAATTTTGTGTAAAAAAATCAAGTGAAATCTGGGTGAATACCTGAAGACATTTCTACAAGTAAAATGATAAGCTTTAGGGTATGAACTCTGACATTTTTTAGAAGTTGCTCCTCACTAATTTTGCTTACTTCTTGCTTCTATGATAAGTAACTCAGTAAGTAATACTTAATAAGTAACTTAGTTGGATTTTAGCCATTATACAAATATGGTGACTTTATTTTCACCTATTTTAAATATCTTTCTGCAAGGAATTCATGTTGTTGGGATCATAATGAAATTTCTTGGAACTAGAACTTCCCAAAACGATGCCATGTATTACCTTCCGCAGTGGTCCATGCTGTTTTCTGTACTTCTTGTTCCAAGATATTCCTATCTTTTTCAAGAGTTTCTGGCCCAGCTGATCGACAGGAATTAGATTATTCTCCTCCTTACAAAAGAAACACAGTCACTTAAGAAAATCTGATGAGAAATAATTGCATACTTACAAATTCAAAGAGACCAACAGGATTATGCCTAATTAAACATGCCTAGAACAGCAAACACGTAAGTTGATTCAATCACAGCTATTATAAAAAGCTTTTTAAAAACTGGTTAAGCCTCAGTTGAGAGAACTTGGATTTTTGCTATTTTCCGTGTGCCACAGTTTAACCATTTGAAGAGCAATATCAAAAGTAGCCCAAGGTTTGGTAAATTCCCAACATTAAAAAGGAATTTTTCATTTAAATATGTAAATTACTGATATTAAACAAGAATTTTGGAAGAAATACATAAGTGTAAAAACAAAGATGATTAATGTCTTATCTAAATGTTTTGAAGTGTAAACAAGTTCTAAAAGGGGGTGAGACGTAGCTGTGACAGGCTGAATTGTATCTCCCCAAAATTCGTATATTGCATTTTTAACCTACAATATTTCAGAATGTGACTACATTTGGAGATTAGACCTTTAAAGAGGTGATTAAGGTAAAACGAGGCTGTTTTCCATTTTAGAGTAGGCCCTAAGTAAACCTGACTGGCATTAACAGAAGAAGACGAAGTTTGGACAAAGTAACACCGGGAAGCACACACACAGAAGAAACACCATGTGAGGACACAGGAAGAAGACAGCCATCTGCAAGCCAAGGAGAGAGGTCTCAGAAGAAACCTAAACTGCCAACACCTTGATCTTGGACTTCAGCCTTCAAAACTATCAGAAGATACATTTCTATCATCTAAGCCATGCAGTCTGTGGCATTTTGTCATGGCAGCCCTAGCAAATTCATACAGTCATCATAGATCAATATAATTAAAGTATTCAGCCCAGGTCCCTAGCAGGAAGTATAGCAAATCATTTATTAAGGATGAATGAATAAATGAAAGAAGACCTCACATATTTAAAACAGCATATTAAACAAACTTTAAAAGTCATATACTTGAGATATTATCAGTGACTACTAGGAATGAAAAAGGGGACATAATTTCAGGTCACACAGACATTAAAAGGATAATATGGAAACGTAATAAATTGCAAACAGCATTTAGTAAAGCTCAATTTGGTTTAAAATGATAATAATAGCCAAAAAAATCATAACCCAATTCCAATATATGTAAATAAACATAAAGAAAACAGAATGCAAAGAATATATATCAAAGTGCTTACAATAACTGTATCTGACCTATTTATACTTTTCATCTTTTTTATATATTTTCTGTCTTTTTTTCTTGAATTTTCTACCATGAATATGTATTTCATTCATAACTAGAAAATCCCCACAAAAATCATTAAAATACAGATACAGAGAATGTCCTTAAGGAAAAAGACTATGAATGGTAATAATATCACATCTAGCAACTAAACCGCATATATTCTTACATATATACACACATGCACACATACACACAATATATACATACACACAATTACTTACACACACATACTCTACCTCTAATAAGATTGCTTTTAGAATCATCAGTGGATGATCAATCTCTTCTTCACTCTGGAGATCTTTCAGATTCACATCTGGCTTACCTTTTTCCTCCTAGGAAGGAAAACAACATGAGTTTCTATCACTAACCACTTAAAAAGTAACAAAATAGGAATGTTGGCCAGGCATAGTAGATCACACCTGTAATCCCAGCAATTTGGGAGGCCGAGGCAGAGGGACTGCTTGAGCCCAGGAGTTCAAGACCAGCCTGGGCAACACAGACCAGGACACTCTACAAAAAACAAAAAAAAAATTAGCCAGGAGGTTAAGGTGGGAGGATTGCTTAAGCCCAGGAGGTCAAGGCTGCAGTGAGCCGTGATCACATCACTGCACTCCAGCATGGGTGACAGAGCAAGAAGTTAACAAAAAAAAAAAAAAAAAGAAAGAAAAAGGTTTCAAGATGATGAAACGGCGGTAAAAACATCACAATAATCTGCATATGCTTGGAATCAGGCAGACTTTGCTTTGAATTCCAGCTCCTCGTTGAGTATTTTCCAGCTTAGCACTACTTTAGCTACATTTTACATAATTTGACATGTGGAGTTTTCATTAAAATTCAGTTCAAAGTATTTTCCGGTCTTCGTCCCGTATGGTCTCATTCACTTGTGCTGACCTAAGGAAATTCTACTCATCTTTGCAGGCCAGGCTCAGCTTAAATACTCCTTTCTATTTCCTGATCATCCAAGTTTTCACCCCATTTTATGAAGGTATTGGGGAACATGTCAAAATTCCCCTGGTAAGTTATTTTCATTGCCTTTTTTTTCTATACATGCCATCTTCCAAAAGTATTTTAAATTGACTTAAAACCAGAAATATAGGTAGTCATAAACAATGCAAGCCAAAAATAAATAATCAATAAGTGATGGAAAAATATGGCAGGCCAGATACAATCATCCTGCTACAAAATTACTAAAAATGGTAGATAAAGTAAAACCAAAACAAATAAAAACATCTTGAACACACTATGGCTTGCAAGAACATCAGGGAAAACTCTTCCGAGGTCAAAAAGTGAAATGGGAATGTGGGGAAGAAATCCAGAGATGAGGCCTCTGGCTCTGCAACTGCTATAGCCAGAGTAGTTAGGTTCCCCCCAAATTCATACGTTGAAACCTAATCACCAGTGCAATAGTATTATGAGGTGGGGTCTTCAGGAGATAATTAGGTCACAAAAGATGAGCCCTCGTGAATGGGATTAGTGCCTTTATAAAAAAGGCCTGAAGGAGTATTGTTTGACCTTTCTGCCATGTGAGGACACAGCAAGAAAGTGTCTTCTATGAAGCACAGCAAGTCCTCACAGACACAAAATCTGCTGGTGCCTTAATCTTGACTTCCCAGCCTCCAGAACTGTGAGCAATAAATTTCTGTTGTTTATAAATTACCCAGTCTAAGTGTTGTGATAGAGCAGCCTGAACCTGAATGAACTAAGACACTGATCTTGCTGACACTGAACTTCCATTTTGATGCCCATACAGGACAGAGTTGGGGAAAGAAAGCCTAGGCCTACCCAAAGGGGGGAGTCAAGGGACTCATCTTTCAAACAACCATCAATTCTCCAATTCTCTGACATCAACTAGGTGTCACACAATTGTATTCAATTCTGACACTATCTGGTGATAGCACAGACTCCGTAAGTTGAGGACTCAGTCCCATAAGACTGTCCCCTACTTCAAACACAAACCACATACGGGATCCCTAGGGTACTCACATTTCTGCCTAGCTGAACACAAATTCTAGGGTTCCCTTCACCCCAACTCAAGTTCATAATTTTCTGGAATAACAGTAAGAACTCAGGAACTTACACTACACTTTATTATAAAGGATATAAATGAATAGCCAGATGGATTCAGACATAGAGCAAGGTCCAGAAGGGCCCAGAGTTCAGGAAACTCTGTTTCTGTGGAGTCGTGCTGGCCACCCCCCCAGCATGAAAATGTGTTCACCAACCCAGAAATGCCCCAAACCTCATTTTTCAAGAGGTTTCACTGAAGTTTCATTACAGAGGCATGACCAATTAAACAAATCACTGGTCATTGGTGACTGAACTCAATTTCCTGTCTCTCTCCCCTCCCCAAGGTCAGGGAAGCAGGGTTGTAAGTTTCAACCCTCTAATAATGGGACTGGCTTCTCTGGCAACTAGCCTCCATCCTGAGGCATCTAAGAGTGACTTCATTAACATCAACTCAGATATAGTGGAACGGGCCCATTATGAATAACAAAAGACACTCCAATCACTCAGGAAATTCCAAGGAGCTCTGTGCTAGGAACAGGAACCGGAAAGGATGACCAAATATGTACTTTTTAATATATCACAATGATAAAATGCAGCAAAAAGCTGGAATCCCTAAATGGCTATACCTTCAATATAAGCACAACCTAGAGAAAAATCCACCTTACAATAAAGGACAATGAGGAACTGGCTTGCCTTGACCTTGATACTGGATGAAGGGGGAAAAATGTCCTTAAATCACAAGTAGGTCCTCATGTGGGTTTGTGTCCCAAATTCCTACTGGTTGTTTTGCTCTAAAACCATCAAGTTGATTTTAATGTTGTTAAGGGCTGGTAGTGATCCCAGGCTTGTGTTAGAGACAAACACAAATCTTTCTTGGAAGAAGGCACTTTTAACTCAGTCCTCAAATTACTCCCATCAATCAAGTTCTTAAAGAGCAAACAAACAAACAAAGCAAGAAGCCTACAGTCCACCATACCAAAATCACAAGGAAATAGAATCAGCAACATCAGAAGATAACCAAGTCAGACCTACAAAGTCTTCAGATGCTGCAATTATCAGAGAGAAAATAAGAAAATAAGTATGTTTAACGTGCTTGAAGAAATTTATGACAATGGAATAAGAGATTTAAAAATGACAGGAGAGAAGAGGCAAATCGGCATTGTAGGGATGACGCTTGAGCCTATGAGCCCAACATATGACAAGTTGATCCAGGTGACATATAGGCTGGGCCCAGTCCTCCTCCACTCTGCCAGTGTCTGACCCTGGCCATGTTGGGACAGATTGGTCCAGTCATAGAGCTGCCAACTGGGTGCTGTCATGGAGCCTTCTTTGCCCCACTTCCTCAAATGTGCAAGATGATGTTCCAAATGATGCCAACCATCTGTGAAGCCGAAGTCCCCCCAGGAAGTTGGAGGCATGGATCAGGCTCCTCTTTATAGCCACATCTACATTTATGTTTTGCAGTTAGTGGCCTCCATGCTAGAAGAAAAGGATCATCTTCTAGGCACACTAAGAGAGACTAAAATGTTGGCTTTAACCCAGGGAAAATTACATGAGGTTGGTCCTGAAAACTACTCCTTACAGGCAGTACCTACTAAAAGAACTCCATGTATGCAGAGCACAGTCCCTTGAAAGGGAAGAAGTAATTGCTGAACTGTAAGTAGAAAGAACACTACCCGGCTACAATTAGAATATTTGGGACCCTTCGTGGGCACAGGGGATCTGTCAGAATAATGGTAGTAAAAGAGACAAACACAGTGTCCACCAGATATATCTACTGCAGGTGAAATTCTTAAAACACAAAATCATTATCTGAACAGCATGAAGCTCTGGATGAAAAGCTAGTGATTCTTAAAGAACAGAACAATAAGAAAAAAAATTACATGGGATGCTTGACAGCCATTAACAAGAAAACATACCAAGCACAATATTCTATTGTTCTCTAAGCCCCAAGGAAGACCCTGCTAAGGTGTTAGAGCTTCAAAAAATGGACAGGCAGTGCAGAGATTGAAGCCAAATGAAGGAATGCCTGCTGCCCTTCGAGTCATGTCACAGAACTGTGAAGAGATCCTGATGCTGCTAGAAAGAAGCTGATCAATTCTGAAGAAATGAGCACAAAACTGCACAAGAGATGTCCAGGAAACCACAACCCAAAAGAAAGTCAAGGAAGAGAGAATCACTACTCTGAAAACATGCTGTCTTACCAGAGTGTGAAGCTGCCTTTGTGCATGACCTCAAAGATAAACGTGAAGATGAAATTGCAAACAGATATTTTATGCATCAAAAAACTGAGGATAAATATTGCCAGCTCTCAAATCTTCAAACTGGCTGAGCAAAAACTGTAGCAGCCATTGAGGTGGCTGGGCTGACAGAGAGGCTGGGAGCACTTCCTACGACTGAAGAGAGATGCAGCAATATTGAAAAAAGTCACAACAGTTGGAGGCACAACCGGAAGAAAAGAGTCACGAACTGCAATGGGAATGGGCAAGGCAAAAAAAATGAACACCATAATAAACATTTACCAGACCTGGTGACAAGCTTCGATCAGAATCTAATGAAAGGCTTCATCTTAGAGAGCAAAATAAAGCCTATCTGATAATTAAGGGGAGTTTAAGGCAGAGTGAGAAGGCCACTTTCTTAAGGATTCTCTACTATGGTAAACTAAAAATACAAGAAGGTAGTTCAAGGGGAAGTATAGTAACACAAAACGGATCAGCTCAAATTAAACATGGTAACGTTGAGGGCTGAAACAGTTGATGAGGATAACAAGTGTCTCACTTCATCTAATTGGGAAGGTGCCCGACAAGATGGTGTCTTGGCAAATGTGGCACAAGCACTTGAGAGCAATGCTTGTACAGCCTTCCCAAGCCAGAAGGGGAGTTCCATTCACTGCAGTAAGTAAAAGAAATGAAGGCAAAGGATTTCGACAGGTAAAACAAAACCGTCTTTTTCCATAGATGACTTCAACATAAGAGTATTTAGCAATATTATTGGTTGTTAGTATATACACTGTTTAATATTTTATATATTTTAGTATATAAAATCAACATACTAAAGAAAGCTGCATTTCAATACACCAGCCACAAACACTCCAGAAAACACAAAATTTAGGCATAGACCATCTCCCTGGTAAACATGTTCCTGGTAGAACACAGTTTGACTTTTTTCATATCCAAACTTTACAGAACATATATCTCTCAATATGTTCCAAATACAACTGATAGAACGTCAGAAATACAGATGAACGTTTTGAAAAGCTGGCTGAGTGTCGTCAAAGGGACTGTGCATCTTGCATACTGCTGGCACCATGATATGCCATATTACAACTAAATGTGGAGCAAGTATTTGTCAACAACAGCATTCACTTTCTGATAATAGGAAGCTACGCTTCAAGCATTTTACATCCTAACATGATGGTTTGTGACTTACCTATAGACGTTTTACTGTGTTTGGGGTTGATGTGTAATAGATTATAATTTCCTAGGAACTAGACACCAGTTAGCACTTTCCCTCGGAACATCTGTAAATTTTTTTTTTGAGAAATATTATAAAACATTTTAGTAAGACATTAAAGGGACTTTAGAAAATGAAAAGGTATATCTTGTGCACATATGAAGACCGGAAATCCCACTGAGTATGTGTGTGTATATGTGTATGTGCACACACATGTGCATCTGTGAGACTACTGACAAGGTGATTCTAGAAATGTACACAGAAGCATAAAAAATGAAGACAGGTCCCACACTCCTGAAAAATAACAGCATGTAGGGAGACTTGTCCTACCAGAGATCAAGATTATTATAAAGCTATGGAAACTGACAATGTATTTGTCCAGGAATAGAAAAAAATGAACAATGGAATAGAATAGAGAGCTGAAAAACAGACTCACACAAAAATGAACAGTAGACATAATAGAACTGGCATAGTAGACTGGTAGAGAAAAACTGATTACTCAATAAATAGAAATGGGTAATTTTTTCAAGTGGAAAAAAATCCTTCTTATACCTCTCACAGGAAACCATTCTAGGAAGATCAAAGTTTTAAATGTCATTCAATCAGTGGTTATTGAGCACTGTTTCAAAGAGCAACCATGAAAGACATGACTACGCAGTCATATTATAATAAACAGGACAAAATTCACCCTGGTCTTAAATCCTATTGTGCAAGCTATAGACATGGGATTTATTGTTTTTATCACATGTTCACCTACCATCTGCAGGATACAAAATTAATATTGTGTGTTATCTAAATCAATGCTCATTTTATTTTTCAGAAAAAATTCAATAATGGTCAGCTATAGGAATTGTCCTATCTCTTTATGATAATGGAGTAACTGTATAGGTAAGGAATGGTTCCAGATTAGAGGAGATATCAGAGATAACTAAATACCATGCTTGACACTGGATTTGACACTAGAGTGGGGGAAAAATTGCCATGAAGGATGTGAACTGGAAACTGATGGAATCTGAACATAACTAAGTATTAGACAACAGTATTATATCTATGTTAGAAGATCCTGATTTTAATCAATGTTCATGTAAGATAATATCCTTGGTATTAGAAGATAAACACTGAAGTATTTAGTAGTAAAGGGACCTGGTGTCTTCAACTTAATTTCAAACGGTTCGCACTAATAATGATAATGTTAATAATGTGTGTCTGTGTATACACATGCACAAATGTGGCAAAAT